GAGAATTTGATTTTTAGAGAGAGAAAGTGATTTGAAAAGATTTTACCTTTTATTTGGGGGTAACTATTTTTTTTACTTTATGTTTTACTCACTGGGTGAAAAAATCTCACGTTCTTCCTAATTCTACACAATGTTCATCGTTATTTTTTTTTAGGCTTTAATGCGACTTGTGTTTAATTAACAAAGGGGTGTCGTTTTGGGCTGGGTGTACCATGCTCATGGTACACTCGGGTGTAGGGATCAGGAATTGTACATGATATTGAACAATTGGGAAACCAAAACATAAGGGAGAAGTACATGCATTATACTATGTCAATTAAAGGACGAATTAAGTTTAATCATTTAATGAAAAAGAAAAAATAGAATTCACCCGTGCATCGCACGGGCTTTAAAGCTAGTCAAATTAAAATCAACAATGAATTTTGGCGTAATTCAGTTTTATTTTTATTAATCTGCTTCATATAATACTCTCTCCCATTGATTCAGATCGAACTCAGACTTAAAAATCAAAATTTGATTGTATTTGGACTCAACCTATTGGAGTTCAAAGTCCAAATTTAAGTCCAAATAAGAAGTATTTGAGAATTATAATTAATTAATTTTTTACAACTTTATACCAATTTATTTGAGTGTCATTAATTGATGATGATGATGTAATTTAATGTTCAAGGCAAGAAAGTTTTAAAAAGGATACATGTTTGATTGACAATAGAAGATTAAAAGTGTGAATAAATAAATAAATATTATTTGTTAAATAATTATTTAGTTGTCTAAAAAATATAACAATGAAACATGTTTAATTGCTATTTAAATACTATGGAAAATATGGTATGTAAAATGTTTTTAAATGTGATTTGCATTTTAATTTTTTTATATATATATATATATATAGAGAGAGAGAGAGAGAGAAAGAAAAAGGATCATATGAGACCATCCCCCTTATGTGAGAACCCTATAATATGTGAGGATATATTACAACCGTTGGATCAATTACATCCAATGGTCATAATACAACCCGGTAAAACAAAACAAATTTATTTCCTGCATTTTTTCTCTCTCCTCCTTCTTCTTTTTCGCTCAATTTTCTCTCTCCTCCTTTAATTCTACGGTTTTCTACTCCGTTTCTCTCTGGTTTTTCATCACAAGTTCTTCAATCTTCATCAATTCTTCGTTAATGAGAGTCTATTGTTCATACATTTGCTGTTTTTCAATTAATTTTATGTTACATTCATTGTTTATTTTCGTTTTGATTTTCGTTTAATTTGTTCAGATTATCGTTTTTTTTGTTGATTTTAGTTTTATTTTCGTTTTCTTGAGTAGTTATCAAGTTAATTTTAGTTTTATTTTGGCTGAATTTAGGTTTTACTAAGTGTTCTTGCTTTAGTTTTGTATTTGCGAAATTATGTTGTGGTTTTGTTGCGATTTTTGCTTGATTTTGTTGCGATTATGTTGTTTATTTTCGTTTTGCTTTTCGTTTAATTTGTTTTGATTTTAGCTCATTAATTTTAGGTTACTTTGTGTCGATTATGTTTTAGTTTGTTTTTTTTGTTGATTTTAGTTTTATTTTCGTTTTTTTGAGTAATTATCAAGTTATTTTTAGTTTTATTTTGCATGAATTTAGGTTTTTACAAGTTTTCTTGCTTTAGTTATGTATTTGAGAAATTATGTTATGGTTTTGTTGGGATTTTTGCTAGATTTAGTTGCGAATATGTCGTGTTTTTGTTGCTATTTTGTTGTGATTATGTTCTGGTTCTTTGTAATACATTGTTTTAGCAGCTCTTTTGCAATTAGCTCTGAGTGCTCGACCTAACTGTCATATTCTTGGTTAGTTAGAACTATGAACTGTGTGTTTGAGTCACTAGTGAGCAGTTTTATGCTAGTAACCTGTTCTCACAAAGCTCGAGCTTCTTTGTAAACTACAGCAGTTCAGCAGAGTCATGTTCATAGTGTATTATTCTTGAAATTGTGTTGATTATTTGAATCCTTGGTGCTTCTTCAACTAGCCTTGCAATTGCCATGTTCATAGTGTAATAAGACATTATCTGAAAATAATACTAATGCAACATAAATCTGATTACCTTTAAACACCTCAGATGGGAAAACCTCCTTATTCCAGGCAATATAACCTGGCTTATTGCAGACATTCCCATACCAAAGAAAAATCCTGTAAATTGCATTAATTTTCTCAAAAACACTCTTGGGCAGGATCATAATCTGAGCCCAATACACTTGTATACTCATTAAGACTGAGTTTACTAGTGTAAGCCTGGCTGCAAAAGAAAGGTGTCTACTGCTCCAAATTTTGATTCCTGTGCACATCTTTTCAGTGAGATGTTCACACTCAGCAGATGAGATCCTTTTTTAACATATTGGAACTCTCAAATACATGAAAGGTATCTTCCCCCTAGAGAAACCTGTAAAATCAAGCACCTTTTTTTTTATCTCTGTATCATTCATGCTAATACAGTAAATGAAGGTATTCTCAAGACTTGCTTGTAGACCTGTAGATCTTAGAGAAGGCTCTAAACCCTTTCATAAGCAATTTGATAGACTTCAGTTCCCCTTTACAACAAAGATTAAATCATCAGCAAAACATAAGTGTGTTAAGCCAACTGATCTACGCCTGGGATGAAACTTGAAACCTTCAACCTCACTTACAACCTTTAGAATTCTAGAGAGGTATTCTATGCACAGCACAAAGAGAAAGGGAGAGAGAGGATCTCCCTGCCTTAGCCCCTTTTAGAGGCAAAAAAACCCATGAAGAGTCCCATTGATCATGAGGGAGAATTTGGGAGTTGTGACATAAACCATGATCAGATTAATAAATTTCTTAGGAAACTGTAGAGCCACCATCATTTCTTCTATAAAGCTCCATTCCACAGTATCATATGCCTTTTTTAGGTCCAATTTTATCAAACAACTAGCACCGGCATTTCCCCTTCCATACTGCCTCACTAGATCCTAACAGACCATAATATTGTGAATGATAAACCTGCTATGAACAAACGCACTTTGATTTTCAGCAATGACAGCAGGTAGTACCTTGTTGAGTCTCTCACAAAGCACCTTTGAAATGCATTTATATATTACATTACAGCATGCAATGGGCCGAAATTTTGTCACACTTCCAGGAGACTTGGTTTTTGGGACCAGAGTTAGAGATGTGATTCTTATGTGTCTTGTATATTGATCCTGTTTAGGTACGAACGAATATGATTCATAAAATCCCGCAATATAGTACCTAATTCCCTACAAACAATACAACAACTTTTTTGAGGGATAATTTTGAATGTAACACTGCTAATTAATTTGAACTATATTAACTTCTAGATAAACATATTAGATGGTGACATTATTATGAAACTTCAATAATAATATTATATACACGCCACTTTCCATCTAAATGTTGTCCAAAACTAATTTTAATCTCCCCTCGCATTATGAAAATCCTTTCACAAACTAGACCTTTATCATCTTATCAGTGTTGGGAGACTTGTGACTTATCAGGCTTATAAAATCAACTGGTCAAACAACTATATAGCCAGTCAATCAAACTGGTTAATACGAGTATATGACTAGGTTTTAGCTTACAACTATATACCAAACAAGACTCATGACTCTGTGAGTCATTAGAATCTATTAACTATTACTAAAACAAAACGTTGCTGACGTAATCACTGTCCACATGTCACTCATATAATAAATTTTTTCTCGTCTAAATGCAAGGATGATGTCAATTTTTTTTTTGGAGCTACCATATTTAACAAGATTGAAATTTGAATATTAGAAACTTCTACATTACAACTAAAATCTATCAATTTATCTTTAAAAAATGAAACAATTGTAAATAGCACACTAATAAATGGACTCCTACATTGAAATATGTATTAGGCGATGTTGAACAGGTATTATATCATAATTTTGATGAAAATCTAAAACTATAAAATTACAAATATTTTTGTACAAGTGCATAATTCTTATATTTATCCATTTTTTTAAAAGTACAAATTATAAAATAGATTTTATATAAACCGTGCATCGCACGGGTTCTAACCTAGTTATTATAAACAAATCAATAAATCTAGAAAAAATAAAATTCATTTCTTTATCAACTGATAGCATCTCAAATAACTTTATAATTTCCCTTATAATTAATTTACAGCTTTAAGTTAGTAGCTATTGAGTTTTTCATTTATTACTCCATAAATTTGTTTGTTGAAAAATGTAAATACATTTTCTTGAGTTAAGTAATCAATAAAATTAAATTTATCATCTGACACAACCGGATCTAAATTAAATTACTAACCGTATCTAAACTCCATATAAAATATAACTAGTGAGTAGCTTGGGCGTTGCCCCGGGTTGCTACTTTGTAATCGTGCAATTGGGTATATTTTTAAGGATTTTGAAATATGAAACTGACATTATTGAATGTGTTTTTGTATTAATTAAATCATGTGGTTTACACTTATGTACATTTCTTTTTCAAATTTATAACATGCTTGATAATGAGATAAGATGGTTAAATAGCCAACTTTGTTATAAGTGGTTGGGTATTCGAATTCCCTTAACTTTATATTTTTATACGAAGTAATGTGGGTTGCTTTGGTGATGATGTGGCAAAAAGAGATGTTGGGTATTGTGATGTGGCGTCATGGAAGTATTTGTGAAGTGACGTGACGTAATTTAAAACGATTTATGTGGCACATGAAAGTTTTTATAAACGCCTTTTAATATATTAGTATAGATTATCGTTTAAAATGCTAAATAAGACATTAGTATTAGCATAATTAATTGTTAAATAAATAAATCAGATGGTGACTACATCACAAAACTTCCATAAACGACACAACACCTTCCATTAGAACCGCTTTTAATCTCAGTTTCATTATTAAAATTTTAAAATACTTTTTCGCAAACTAGACCCATAGCATCTTGTGAGTGTTGTGACCTAAAAAAAGAACAATTATATAAAGAAGAGGGAGGGAATGATTGAAATGAAAAAAAATGAAAGAAACCCAAAAATTTTAAAGAGACAAAGTTGTCCCTCTAAACATTTTGGCTTTCCCCCCTTCTCCAAAATTTTTTCTTTCTCTCAAAAAATCAAAATTCCCCAAATCATATTCCTCTATTCCTATTATAATGGAGAGACGACCAACACAAACAATTCGAGCGACTTCTACTTCCTCTGTAAAACCCTAACTATCCAAATCCCCCCTTTTCTCTCTACAAAACTCCCTTTCTCTCTCCTTTTTCATTTCCCCCCTTCAAAATCAAACATACCCAGTTCAATTTTCCCTCAGATTTCGATCTTTTTTCAATCAATCGATCTATAATTGGTTGATTGATTGAATTTTTTCATCGCAATTTCATCGATTAATTGTCTAATTTTGTGTTGTAATAATTTGTGTTTTCACTGTTTTTGGATTTTTTTGCTGATTGAATTTTAGGGTTTGCGTAAAGTTTTAATCTTTCGTGATTAATTGAAAAATTAATCGAGGCTGGCGAATTTTGAGGTGTAGTAAATGGCGGATCCGCCTGGTCTCCGCCTACCATTTCCTGGGTTGGAAGCCATTAATGTTCAAAATTTAGGGTTTCGAAGATTTGTTTTGGATAGTTCTAAGTCATATTTGATAGATAGAGAAGAAGAAGAAGTATGCTGAGCGTGGTTAGAGTGCACCTCCCGTCCGACATTCCCATTGTAGGTTGTGAGCTTTCGCCGTATGTTCTACTTCGAAAACCCGATAAGAGTGTCATTAACGATGATGTTCCTGAGACTGCTCCAATTGACGGTCAGTTCTTAAGATATAAGTGGTAAGTTGTATAATTTATGATTTACTAGTTTGTGTTTGTATTATAATAGTTTTCGTGTTTGTATTAATTGAGATTTTATTGATTGAGGTGTTATAATAATTATTTGATTTTTTTATCTATGATTTTTGTAATGTTTTGATATTTTTTTCCTTTGGAAGTGTGATTTTTTTCCTTGTATGATTTTGATTTGGAGGCAAGATTTTGTAAATTTGTTTGTAATTCAATGTATCTTGAGCTTTTTGTTGAAGCAGGAATGACCGTCTTTAAGCGGTACCGTATTGTTTAAAGAGAAGCATGTCTTCTCATGTTTTTTTTTCCCCTTGTTTAATGCAGATTTGTTTATTATCTTTGCATTGGTATGTCATTTGGCTTGCCCTGTTGTGTTGCAAAAATGTTGTGGTTTCGGAACGCATAGGTGTATTTGCTTTGTTTTTAGCTTTTTTAAAAATAAGTATTTGTCGCTAAGCTTGCTAAGGTTATCATGGGATTTTCCCTTGATATTAATAACACATAAATTGAAGATTTGTCAATCTTGAACTTGGTATCCTATCAGCTTTTAAGTGTAATTGATGTTTGTCACAGTCGATCATTGGTCGTGTTACATGCCAGATTGTTGCCATTATTTGTTAATTTTTTATAAATTGAGTTGCGATTTCATTCAAGCATGAGCGTGGACAAAATATGCTGGCTGATTCTTCTATAATGCGTATATATAAAGAAGCCTTCAGATGTCATTTTGTTTTTTGTAATGAATTAAACATTTGTTTAGATGGATTGGCCTTTACTAAACAACTTCTAATTCTAGTTTGTGATATTCAGTTTACCATTTCTTCCCTATATGCAACTATTTATGAAGCTGAAGGGTATTAGGCTTATATTGTGTAGAAGAGCAGAGAGCCTGGTATTCACAATTCTTTGGTTTCTTTCAATTTTCTGGTCTTCGCTCTCTCTTTCTCTCTCTCCTTATTTTGGTTGGTGATGGAGCTGATGGTAATGGTGAGATAGCTTATAGCATAGTTTTGACACTTCTGTATTTCTGTGTCGGACACCTGACACTTTGCCGAGGGTATGAACTTCTTACTTGACACTATTCCTTTTTTTCTCTACACTTCAATTTACTTGATCCCCATATTTGTTGACTAAACTGAAATCAAAGGGGAATCAAAGAGAAAATCATACCTCATGTGATTGTGTTCGAAAGTGGACTGAGATAAGCTTAATTATTGGAACTAGCAAGTTGTGAGTATCTGTATTAAATTGTGGAAAGACATATTAGAAACAAGAATATATTTTGGCACCTGGTACCTACAAAAATCTTGGGCCAAATTTAATGTTGGCCTTCCCCCTCCCCTCAAATTTTATTTATTTAACAATCTTTTGAAATGGAAACTAATCAGCAATTAATATTTTGGGAAAAAATCAGCATTTTGTTCATGTACATAAACAAACTAGATTTTCATCAAAGGTAACTTATTGAATTATTCACGAGCATTCATGAATGAGTATCGTAATGTTCATGTTCAAGCTTGAGATTTGTACAAAAATTCTTAGTTTGTTTACATCCTACTGTGGTATCTTTTGCTCTTTGGTTTTCATCAATTTGGTGGTTGTTGATTGTGTGAATGTAATTTTTTATTTTCCTGTCCTATTGTTCTCTGTGTTTGCTTGTGAGAGGGAAAAGTGAAATAATAATGATTATTTACGGTGGGACAGTCATTTTTCATAGAAAGCAACTTAAGGAGGGCCAATGTATAACCTAGGTCTTAGTGGTTTTACTTTGTGTTTCCCCTTTCATAGTAACCAATACAGGTGTCTCAAGTTCTTCTTTGCATTATGTGTATAGTATGTTATGTTATATAATGCACTAACAATGATTGACGGTGACTAACATCAATTATAATTGAAAGCTTATAGGATACCAAGTCTAATATCACCAGATCATCAAGTTATTATGTTATTAATATCAGGGGCAAATCCCATGATAATCTTAGCAAGTTGTTACTTGTAAAACAAGAGGGAAAAAACATAGCAAATACCCCTATTTGTCTTAAAACCACAACATAGTCGTGCTTCAAGGGGCTAGGTAGCCTAATTACATACCAATAAAAAAATTATTAAACAAACTTACATTAAACAATGAAAAGTGAGAAGGCATGCTGCTCTTCAGACAATAAAGAACCAAGTAATGATCGTAATTGTTCAGATTTTTTTGGGCATCTGTGTGGGTGTCTTGTTGATCTTAATGTTGAGCAGCGTCCAAAATGGATTTCTGGGAATTGGTTAGGATTTGCTGTCACTGCCTAAAGTATAGTTATTTTAAGTTTTAAGGGAATATTGTTTTTTCAAATGATGCATGTGACAATTGTGATTGTTTTATTTGTATTGTTTTGATGCAAAAGGTTCTTCAAAGGATCATTGTTGATGATGTGGTAATTAATCAGTCTTGACAGTTTTTGAACTGATTGGGTAATTTCGTAAATCATTTCTGATCTATTTATGCGCTGTTAACAGGTATCGTATACAGAGTGACAAAAAAGTTGCTGTTTGTAGTGTGCATCCGACTGAGCAAGCCACTCTGCAGTGCATTGGTTGTGTTAAGGCCAAGATTCCTGTGACGAAAAGCTACCATTGCTCTCCCAAGTGCTTTTCAGATGCTTGGCAGCATCATCGTGTTTTGCATGACCGTGCTGCCAGTGCTGTTAATGAGAATGGGGGTGAAGAGGAAGATATGTTTGGACGCTTTAATAGCTCAGGTTCTGGAGTACTGAGTGCCGGCTTGGCTCCTTCTGCATCTAGTCCCAACTTGACCAATGGCTCTACACCTTTATATCCTGTTGCTGTTACCCAGAGGAGTGGCAGTGAAACATGGTTTGAAGTTGGACGTTCTAAGACATACACACCATCCGCTGATGATATTGGTCATGTTTTGAAATTTGAATGTGTTGTTGTAGATGCTGAGACAAAGCAAACTGTCGGACATCCCATGACACTTACTACATCTCGTGTCATCCCTGCACCTACACCGACACCTCGTCGCATGATTTCAGTTAGTGGCGCGGATGTAATGGGACATTTGGATCCTGATGGGCGTATTGCAACTGCTGGGACTTTTACTGTGGTTTCATACAATATATTGGCGGATGCATGTGCCACTAGTGATACATATAGTTACTGTCCTTCGTGGGCCCTTTCCTGGCCTTATCGCAGACAAAATTTGTTGCGAGAAATTGTTACATATCGTGCAGACATTGTATGTCTTCAGGAGGTACAGATATTTGCTCCTAACTTAATAGTCTTTTTTCATTTTGTTGTTAGTTTGTCAATGTTTATGATTTTTTCCTGTATGCACTGGGACTTTGTGATGGTTATGCTTAATAGTCTTTTTTCATTTTGTTGTTAGTTTGTCAATGTTTATGATTTTTTCCTGTATGCACTGGGACTCTGTGATGGTTATGATCAATTGCCTTTCAACTTGAATAGGGTAATAATTATTTACCCTTTAAAAAAAAAAATATTTTGATCAACCTCTGAGAGATCTTGTTATTGATGGCATTGTCTTTTTGGTGTTAGTTTCAGAATGTATTAACTACATAAGAAAGTGAGAACTTGCAATGGTTAGGAGATAGTATTGTCACTTTGTTTTTATTTCTCTTTTCGTACTGAAAGGTAGTGCACAGAAATCATGGAAAGTGAAATAGTGGGGTAGTGGATCACTAAATCCATTTATGTAGAATAAAAGGAGAAAGGCAATGTGTATGTTAGTAGAGGTAATTGAGGGTAGATTTGTCATCTTCAGTATGAATTCTTCCCAATCGGTGTGTTCAGATTTATATGCAACATCCTTGAAAATTGAAATGTTGTTAGTGAAATAAATTGGAGAAATATATATATATAGCGGAGGTATCCGGTGAGAATAGGCCCATATGTGAGAAAACATACTTATATGAGAACTGATCTTAATTTTAGAACATGTGAGTAAAAATTTAGAACATATGATTAAAAATTTTGAACACATGATTTAAAATTTTGAACACGTGAGTAATAATTTAGAACATCTATGTGAGTAATAATTTAGAACATTTGATTTTGGATTTATAACGTGTGCTGAAAAATTTAAAAAACCTGATTCAAAATTTAGAAAATTTGAATAAAATTTAGAACATCTGATTTAAGATTTAGAACATGTGAATAAAAATTAAGAACAACAGATTTTAAATTTAGAACATGTGAGTAAAAGTTTGGAACATACGAGTAATACTTTAGAACATATTTAAAAAATCTTAGAACACTATTTAAAATTTAAAACATATAAGTTAAAATTTAGAACAAATAATTTAAGATTTAGAACATGTGAGTAATGATTTAAAACATTTTATTGAACTCATTTAAGATTTAGAACACGTATTTTAAAATTTAGAGCATACGAGTAAAAATTTAGAACATGAGAGTGTTCTCACATATGAAAGAGTTCTCACATAAAGGAGGAATTCTCACAAGAGCCTCCCCCTATAGCTTACTATGAAATAGATATTAAATCTTAATGTATAATAAAAAATATATCTTCCAAAAAGATCTTGATTAAGAGGGAAGTATGTGATTAAATCATTGCTAATGACCCCGTTTTTTAGTATAAAGAAACTAATTTAGAGTAGAGTATAATCTAAGTTTGTTTTAATTGTCGGCCTGTGTTTAGTTGGAATAGATTTCCTGAAATGCTAGCAGTTCCTTGAGACTCTGCGTACTCTTGATTATCATCTTAGCGATGCTTTTTAGGCATTTCTTGCTTGCTAATGATGGCTACAGCTGTTTCATTGCAGGTTCAATATGATCATTTTGAAGAATTCTTTGCTCCTGAGCTTGACAAACATGGCTACCATGCTCTATATAAGAGGAAAACATCAGAGGTATACAACGTATATATTCTGAATTGTTTTTCTTTTAACACCCTCTATTCTTCTAACCTCATTTTGACGCTTTCTGTAGGTAACGCATACAGTTGATGGTTGTGCCACATTCTTCCGAAGAGACAGATTTACCCATGTAAAAAAATACGAGGTCTGTTTTTTCTCTTTTTATTGACAATTTCTTAATGTTTCAGATCTGTTGTGTTCTGATGGATATTAGCTTTGTTTATAGGTCGAGTTTAACAAGGCCGCACAGTCTTTAACAGAGGCTGTAGTTCCTACTACCCAGAAGAAAACTGCTTTGAATCGACTTGTCAAGGTCAGTGTAATGTCTTCTTGGTATGAAGTATATGTTATTACATATAATTTTAAATATTAGTTTTGTTTTCGCCTAACTTGTGTATATGTTATAACCGGGCTTGAAATCTCTCGTGATTTAATTTGTAGGATAATGTTGCACTAATCGCCGTCTTGGAAGCCAAATTCAGTCAACAGGGTGCTGATACCCCTGGAAAAAGACAGCTTCTTTGTGTTGTGAGTACCAATTACTTTTAAAATCCTAATTCTTTTTAAAAAATTTCTTTTGTTAGGAATCATGCATACTTTCTATTAATTATTATTATAAGAGGCATTTGTTTGGACCACCATTGATGTTTTTTATCAGATACCATTTCTTGCATTAAGAGGGATCAGAGGGCATAAAGGCTATTACAGTTTTAAAGCTGTGCATGGTCACTTAAAGTTTAGTAGCCTTGGCAAAATTTAAATCTTATAACCAACTATGAAAAATTTCAATTTTGTGACTTTTGGTGTTAAGCTACTGATGTTCTTATTTACATTCCAAACTCTATTTAAATGTCTCCGTTGTAGTTTATGCTTTATAATTTTATATCTTTGATAAAGCCTTTATTTCGTGAAACTTTATACGATTGGCCAATCTGATTATTTAATTTGCTCGGACTAATTACAGCTCTACTTATTTTATTTATGCCATCATATTATCTTCCCTGATTAGCTGGCTGTTGTACCTGTTCTTTGAGGTCAAGGGAGTACGGAGAGTGGACTTGGGCAGGGTTCTAGACCTTCTAGTAGTCGTTGGGAAAGTCTTTAACGTGTTTGTGTATCTCCCTTTCAATTTGCAAGCTGTGGCACTATAGTACCGATGAAGAAAGAGATTAACTGCCCTTAGGACAGCTGAGTATAATTTTTAATCTCCCTCAACAGCCTTACTGTTCACGTTTCTCACTTTCTCGAGGTCTTTATATGACTTATGGGGAATTGTAACTTGTTCATTTTTCTTTTCTTGTCATGTAGTCTTAGATCCAGAAACATCCAATGATCTAAAATATGTAGAATTTTAATCATCTTGTTTTTGCTTTTGTCTTTTTGATCAGGCAAATACACATGTAAATGTGCATCAAGAACTGAAGGACGTCAAACTCTGGCAGGTATGCGAAGCAAATGTTCTGTATCTTTATCTCTGTCCTTTGACTATTTCATTTAATATCTTTAATAAATTTGATTTCAGGTTCATACTTTATTGAAAGGGTTGGAAAAGATTGCTAACAGTGCTGATATTCCAATGTTGGTGTGTGGAGACTTTAATTCAACTCCTGCAAGGTCTGTTTGCTGCTATCTTGATAGTAGTGTGTTCGGAATATTGCTATCATTTGAAATGTTATGAGATTTATTGAAACTACGTTATCTGCCTTCATTACAGTGCTCCTCATGCACTTCTTGCAATGGGTAAAGTTGATCCACTACATCCCGATTTAGCCGTGGACCCTTTAGGAATATTGCGCCCTCATACAAAGCTTGCACACCAGCTTCCACTGGTAACATTTCAGCACCAATATTGTGCTTCTGATCTTTCTATTGTCCATGGCTTTAATTTAATTAGCTATAACTTACAACTTCTAGGTCAGTGCATATTCATCCTTTGCAAGAGGGATGGGACCAGCTTTAGAGCAGCAAAGGCGGAGAATGGATCCTTCAACAAATGAGCCCCTATTTACAAATTGCACAAGAGATTTTATAGGGACCCATGATTACATATTCTACACAGGTAGTAAATGATGGTTATTGTACTGTTTTTGTGGGCTATTTATCGTTGTTTAAATATTTGCATCGAGAGTAGCTCATCCATATTTGCTGAACTTGTGGTTTCAGCGGACTCTTTGACGGTGGAATCTTTACTTGAATTATTGGATGAGGATAGCTTAAGGAAGGACACAGCTCTTCCTTCTCCAGAGTGGTCTTCAGATCATATAGCACTTTTAGCCGAATTTCGTTGCAAATCAAGAATTCGACGTTAGCACTCGAGGGGTATGCAATACATTTGCCTTACCCCCCCCCCCCCCCCCCCTAAAAAAAAAAATTTAACTATTGTATGGTTATACCAATTATTTATGAAGTTTGGGTTAATGCATTGATATAATAAAAAACTTACTAGTCCATTGACACTATCAATAATGTGGAAGAAATAAAAGTTTAGTGCTTAGAATATGAATTTGAGCAAGTATCCAGTTATGTACCTGCAGAATTAGTTCCATGTACTGCATATTTTGGATCGAGAATTTTTTGTCTATTTTAGCTAAGCATTATACTTTGCTAATATTATTACACTATTTATATGTTTGGTTAAATTGGTTGTTTCTGCTTAAGTCTGCTAATGAATATTCTTCTATCAACAGGCTGCCTAGAAGATATGTTGACAAAAAATAGGCGAGTTGATGGATAATCTTTTTGGAAGTCATTAAGAATGGTGGATCAGGCCTGTGTGTTCTTCCCCAGGTATTATCACCTCATAAGGGGTATCCGGCTATGATCTGCCCTGTATCATGTTTCCTTGTCCCATAGAAAATATGATCCTATTCAAATTTTCCTTTTTTTATAATAGAAATTATTACAGCTTATCTGTGGGCTCGATGTGAGTAGTGATGTTTTTTACTGTCAAGTTTTTACAACAGCAATACAGTAGCGTTTGCAATTCAGATGGGCTCACTTCTGTAGGTTTTCTTGTATTTTTCTAGTGGGTAATAGTCTTCCCCCATTTTTCTTAGTACAAAAGCAAGATAACAAAGATACAGTTGATTATCTGCTTCTGTCAAAATATAGTATCATAGTCATCCCAGTTCCTTTTCAAGGTGCAAATACCTCCTTTTTTTACAATATTTTTCTCATCTTAGATTGGTCTTTGTGTTGGTTGCATATGTGAATTGTTTCGATTCCTTTTCATTTTTTATGGGACCCTATTGATGTCAATGGGATGCCAGAATTCATCATATTGTAGCCATGTTCAATGATCAGGAATGGGTTCCTTGGATGTCTGTACAGTACCTGTAATGTGGAAAATGGTTTTTGGACATTCAAAAGATCTCTGTATGCAATTTCATCCTGCAATTTATTTCTTACAGCTCTTGTAGTTCCCATCTGTTGTACTTGCACATCAGCAGACTAGCATATAAATTAGTAGAACATCTCTGCAAGTGTTTGCAAGTCAGGTTACAGGGCTGTTAATATAATTATGTGCAATTCTGTCTTAGATTACAGATACTTTTGGAAGTTGATTTTTCGTTTATTCTTAGGTAGAACCTTGTACTAATTAATGTCTCTTCATTTTTGACCCTCGAATAGATGAAAAGTCAAACGGGGTACTAATACTCTAATAGAGTAGATGATGTTTGATAAAATGATAAAGAGTTTCAGTCATGGTTGGTTCGGGGGGTGACATTTTGCGGTAATGGTGATAAGTTTATACTCTGTTTAACTTGTGATAAGTTATTAATTGTATCTTGTGGATAACTGGATACTATGAACGAAGAGAATACTATGCGTTGTGGCTACTTTTATGATTTTTAGTATGAGTTTTATAAGGTACTGAAGTTCGGCTTAAACTTTTCCTATCATTCGTATTGTTTTTGGTCTACGTAAAGTTGACGCAAGGTCATCTTTATAATTTCTACCTTGCTCGTATTCTTTAGAGCAATTCTGGGAGACTGGGAGCGTGTTTGGGATATTCTTGGGGTAGAAAGGGATTACTTGAGTTTGAAGAGAGAATAGTAATAAAAAAAAAAAAAATTCTAATGGTAACTTTTGTACCAATTGTTTCATTATGTAATGAGTATTTGACTAATTTGAGTAATGAGTGCCATTAGTAGATTGTTGGTACTTTTAGGCTGCACAATTATATGTAATTAGTCAATTACCTATTGATTTGTATCATTTAAAAAGTTTGTATATCATGGGAAAGTCTAGGAAAATTTGTCAATTACTACCGTGTATTAATGTCGTTTTGAAAATTATTGTTGCGAATTAAAAAACTTGTGGATTACTATCGTAAATAGTTTTAAAAAATTTATTTTACTACCAAACTTCACTTAAGACCATTTATTACGTCATTTTAGACTCTTAACTCACATTTAACCTTTGGTTAAGTTTTTAAACGCCAAAAAAAAAAAAAAAAAAAAAAAAATTCGAAACCATGGTTACACCCCCACCCTCTTTAAGGCTCTCAACTAACTTTAATAAAACCTATCTTTCTTTTCTTTCTCCCTCATCGAACTTCCTCTTCACCATTTGTAAAATTCCTCTTAGTTTGCTACACTAAATTCACACTAATTCTTCCCATATATCCTTCAAGAAACGTTTAATTTGCTTTTCAAAAATTGATCTTTTACTTTTTCGATTTTAGGGTTTTTTTCGAATTTTAGGGATTTTGCAATTTAGGGTTTATGGATTACGATTTTGGTTGATTAACATAGGGCCTTTGTAGTTTTCTTTGAATTAATTATCAAATATGCATAATATGTGATTTGAAGTCAAATTGTAGAAGAAAGAGAGAAAAATGGGTTGGGTTAAGGGGATAACCATGGGTCAGGGAGATTTTTTTTTTTTTTTTAATCTATTTATTTTTTTTTAATTTTTTTTTTATGCTTTAAAGCTTAACCAAGGGTTGATTGTGAGTTAAGGGTCTAAAGTGACGTCATAAAAGATCTTAAGTGGAGCCTGATAGTAAAATAAATTTCTTAAAACTATTTATGATTAAGTCCCAAGTTTTTTAATTCACGGTAATGATTTTCAGAATGACATTAATACGCGGTAATAATTTGCAAATTTTCTAAAAGTTTAATAATTCTATTAGAGATTTTTAATGTTTTATCTGCCCAAATAATACTTGGTGTAGTTGGTAGGAGCTTCACGTCATGACCATATATTTGATTCCTACCACTTGTGGTTCTTGGGGGTGGAGATTTCTTTATCCTTCCACAAGAGCCTAACCTTTGTAGATAGGCTGGTTAATCTGTTAGAGGTCTCGGTCTAGTAGGGTTGTTTTCATTACAAAAAAATCTATCTTTTTTTTCTACTACTTAATTGTTATTTCCCAGTACACTTGTGTTAAGGAAAAGGATTGAATGCAAGAATGTAAAAGTTTATTTATTTATTTTTTTTAGTTTTATTTATTTATTGATTAATTATTATTTTTTTATATATAAAATAGTGGGGCCATGCATTTTTTATTTTATGGCTTCAATATTGTTTTTTGGTTTTCACTATCTAATTAGAGGTGTCAAAATGAGACTTGACTCAACTTGAAAATAACTTGATCAAGATTTCGACTTGTATGGGCACAATGATTTAGCATGACCCAAACTTAAATTGGTATTGACTTAACCAAATTCGCTCCAATTATATGAGTTGACGCCTTTAATTAAACGTATATGCTTTTTTTTATTTAATTTTTGAGTATGTACATTAATATATGTTGGATAATCAGGTATCTAACTTGTTTACGTTCAAAAAAAATTGGGAACCAGTACAGTCGTCAAGTTTGCAATCGGTTTACCTGTAATCGGAACCTCCAAATTCATTTTTGGTTTCGGAACTGTCGATTCCAATTCTGTTGTGATCACTAGCAACACTTCGTGAGTTTGATGGTATGATAATTCTTCAACCTCATATGAAAAAGAGATAACACAAACCTTTTGGAAGCAAGTATTAGACACTCATTTTGGATACTTAGCAAGTATTAGACACTCGTTTCGGATACTTCGTGTTCGACAAAAATAGTTGTGTGGGTAGCTGTAAGCTGTCGTAGTAGTTGTTAGCTGTCTATTCGGTAAATTAGCCGTTGAGTTTCAATAGATTTTTAAATTAAAATTATTATTTCATTATTACAAAAATTATAATTATATTATTAGTCAAATTTTTATAACATAATAGAGTCAATAAGATACGATGTAGAGCTACGTCTTTTGTAAAGAATGCAGTTTCTTTTCTTTTTGTTTTTTTTTAATAATTTGAAATGAAAAACGCAAAACACAATAAGATCAAGTCATATGTAGCTATATAAATTTATAATCTTAGGCATGAGATAAATAGCAAAACAATTTATTTAAACGTTATGCATTTGAGATAAGTATTAAAAACAATATTTCAAATTTGAAGGATAGAAAAACAAAAATAGGATTTTATTTCCGAAAATTTTGGATAAAAATTCTACAACTAATTTTCACCAAAAAGAAAAAAAAATAAAAATAAAATAAAAATAAAAAAAAAAGGGAAAAATTGTCAAAGAATAATCCAAACTTTGCTCCGTCCATCCAAAATAACCCCAATTTTGGATTATTTTTTAATAATCCCAACTTTATACTTCATCCGTTCAAAACAGTCCCAGATGACCTATTAAACAGGTAGTTTTTTTCTTTTTTTTTCTTAAGGTTTGTGATTGGTCAAAAATTAAAAAAAAAAACTAATTAATTAAAAAATAAAAACCACCATATCCCCCCGCACCGCCCCAGGTCATCCCCTCCGGTAGGCGTCACCCTTTCCCCCTCCCCTTGCCAGTGCCGGATCCAGCTACCCACGGTCGGCGCCGCTCCTATCCCTCTCCCGCCGTCAGCCTCCCCCTTCCCCTTAAATCACCATCCTCGGCCCTCACTCCAAATCCCCACGAAATAGCCTTAAAAAAACCCTACCCAAGCCATGCCCGATCGCCCTTTTCCCCACCCTCGAAACCCTAGCGTAGCTGTTAGGGTTTCGAGCGTGGGGGAAGGGGCGGTCGGGCGTGGGAAGGGTTTTTTAGGTTGTTTTGTGGGGTTTGGGGGTGAGGGGATGGTGGTTTAAGGGGAAGGGGGAGAATGGTTCGGGCGGCGCCGGCGCCGGGGGAGGGGGAAGGTGTCTGGGTGGCGGCGGGCGTCTGAGAGTCAGGGGGTTGGGCTCGGTAGTGGCGGTGGTTGGGTTGAAGGCTGACGGTTTTTTTTTCTTTTTCTTTTCCTTTTCTTCTTTTTTCCTTTATTTTTTTTAACATATCGTAAGATGACACATGTCCGCAACTTGCAATAGCAAGTTGGATGGCTGGTTGGGTCTGTTTTGGGCGGATAAAGTATAATGTTGGGATTATTAAAAATAATCGAAAGTTGGGATTATTTTGGACGGATGGAGCAAAGTTGGGATTATTGTTGATAATTTTTCCTAAAAAAAATAAAAAAAATCCCACAGCTATTCAAATATTAAAAGTTTCAACTTTTGGCAAAAGCTACAATAAACACTAAAAGCTACTTTCACCACTACCTTGCCGAACATGCCTAGTTTTTATTAGGTATCGTTTTGACCAAGTCGAAAAAGCTAAAAGCTACACAAAAGCTTTCTTTAAAAAAAAAAAAAAAAAAAAAAAAAAAAAAAACTACCTACCTAAATACTAGTGCTTAACACGCCCTATGACACTCACAATTTAACATGAACACAATAACTTAATGAAAATCCGTAGCGGATTGGATTACGTTATGTATAGTACAGAATACTACTCCCTCTGTCACGAAATAATGACTTATGGGCAAAATTCACGGGAATCAAGAAAGTAAAAGAGGAAGTAGTAAAAGTACATTAGAAAGTGAAATTCACATGGGGTTTGCAAAAAAGTAGAGAAAGAAAGTAATAAAAGTACATGAAAAAAACAAAATTTATATGTGGAAGCTAACTTTGCACAAATAATTTTGCAAATTGGAGAGTATTTTAATGCAAATGGGATGATTATTTTGAGACTAAATTTTGGCCATAAGGGTCATTCTTTCGGGGACAAGGGGGAGTATGTTTCTTTTCTTTTTTTTTTCTTTTTTTTTTTTTTTTTGGTCATTCTATAGACAAATCCTACTAACAATATTAAAATCCTTCTAAAACTTGACTTTGACAATATATTAGGGAAGTCATGTAGGAGGGGTTGGACAATCTGATGGGGAAATTGGATGTTTTAAAAAATAGTTGATGATTAATTATAATAATAAATAATGTAGGTGATAATATCTAAAACTGACAATAATTGTAGGGTGGTTATAGTCAAATTAAAATTTCTTAATTAATTTGAACAACTACATGTTCAATTAAAATAAATCTTATTCACTTCATAAGAAAACAAATTCTAAGCACGAATTAATATGCTAAAGCTTACAAGTTATTGTTACAAATATTGAATTGTCTAAAAACTATTCATCAATAAACTATTACTCTCTATGTTCCAAAATCAAGTGTCTATTTCCTTTAACGAGGTTTTCAACGCACATCTTTAATCATCAATATTTTTAACTTCAATTAATAAAGTTATAAAAAATTAATATTATAAAAATACACACTGAGACGCATTCAACGATACAATTTGTTTATTTTTATATACATATTAATAAGAATATTTGATCAAAAAATTTAAAGTTCGACCATGAAATAGAAATAAATACTTAATTTTGGGATAGAGAGAATAAAATATAGAATTATTTAGTAACATCAACATTACCCTAATACCAATTCTTTAAAAGGCTCTGTCCCCCATTATTAGCTTGTAAGTGGTAAATACGAATAACCAATCCGAATGCGAGGCTTCCATATAGGAAGCTTAAGGAAAAACAAAACTTTATTTGATTTAGGTGTTATGGTATACCTATTTGTACAAGACATTTCACATTATAAGATGATTTTTTTCCCTGAATCTCACGTTATTTTAACTTGAGGGGTGAGACTTGTAGTTTTCTATTACTATTTTACTAATTCTATTGCTTTCTGCCAGGTGAAAAGAACTGCTTTTAGTAGCTACAAAATTGTGGCATACAATCATGCATTCGGAACAAAAAAGAGCTCTATATATTAATGTTATGGCCAAATTTAACACATCAAGAAATTAATCAATCATTTCAAAAAATGAGTTTAATGAAGCTTAATCAAGCTACATTTCTGTTGCTAGTACTAGCAACAATGCTAGCTTTTGTGAGCTCGGACTTCAGCAAGGACAAGGATGAATGTCAACAACAACTAGTCAGTCTTTCATCTTGCCTCAACTATGTAACCGGCGAGGTAAAAGCGCCATCTTCGCAGTGCTGCACGGTCTTGTACAAGAAGCTAAATATTACCAAAAAGTGTCTATGCATACTTGTTAAGGATCGAAATGAGCCTACCCTCGGCCTTAAGCTCAATGGAACTCTTGCTCTTAGGCTTCCTTCTATGTGTCATACTGTTTCGAGTTCCTTGGACTGCATAGGTATGTAACCAGCTTAGCCGGCTCATTGATAAATTCTATCTCACTCGAATTGTTTCTCTGATATATACTCATACACATCGTCGTAGATTATTAGCATCATTTTGACTTTTTGCATTATTTACATGCTTCACTTTGATTTATTTTTTTATTTTTTATTTTTAAATGCGGAGTATGTGAAAACAAATGTTACGGAATAGTATATAAGTATTGTCTTAAATGTACCAATCAAAGCTTGGTGGAGTTGGTGGAAAGCTTACCTTGTGACTTTGAGGTCACAAGTTTGAGCTCCACCAACAACATTTGCTTGTAAGTAGGGGGATTCCCTTACCTCCCCCCTCTACTCTCAAGTTTGACTTGCGAAATTGGGCTGGCTTAACCGCTTAATCTGTGAGAGGTCACTAGCAAGATGTTTGAACTCATGTACTTGAATAAATTTGGTGTGATCCTTCATATGTGTTTATAACCTCATTCATGATATTGAGGTCGCACACTTCATACGTTACGTTTACCTTCTTTTTGTTGTTTTGGCGCAGGTCTCCTTAAGTTGAACCCTAAATCTCCTGAAGCTCGGATTTTCATTGAATCGGCCAATATTACTGGAGGTGATAATTGCTACGAGTACTACATTATCATTAAATAAAGAGTGACATTGTTTGAAACATCATGGTTATAACCAAGAAAATGATAAACATAACCCTTAGGCCATGTGTGAGCCAAAAAAGATTTATGACAATAAAAAAAAACGTAATTACACTAATTTGCGCATGATTTTATCATAAAATTTCTCAAATTATTCTTAATAGCTACATATATCATTATCCAATCAAAGGAAGTAAATTATTCTCATTACCTTAATTTTTTTATTCTACTTTGACTAACAATACTTCGGTACAATTTATCTTCCAATATGAGACTTTTATTAAAGGACAGAAGTAATAACAATTTTATGGAGTATTTGACACGTACTTGAGTGTTAAATTAAACCTCAAAATTTGCTGAATATATGACTCTTTTGGTGCTTCTTGCAGCTGATGCTACTGGTAAGGATCCCACAAGTTACAGCTCCAATGGCGGAAAGCTGAATATATGGCGTAAAATGATGATATTTGACGCATTTTTTCTTACGTGTTTCTTTTCGATGTTTTTATTCAATCTGTAGCCGAGTACTTAAGCTATTCCAATCTCTGAATGTTGTATTGTTGTGTTTATATACGTTTCCCTGTTAAAGTAAACTATTGTACTCAATATTATTGACACAACTAATTATGAATTTGTAATAGTTAATAAGATACCTAACATATTTAACTGAGGAAGGCTTGATTTACTTGGTAAGATTTTTACCTCATATTTTGTTTAAGGATTTGAAGTGTACGACCCGTAACAATTGGATTCATTGTAAAATTACATTAAAACAGGATCGATGTATGATACATGTCAATTTTTGAAGATATACCATATACACTAAAATAAAATTGTCATATTGTTTCAAAAACATATTTAAACACAAAAGACTTTATAATTGTTGGATTATTTAGAGTGTTGTAGTGGAGAGATCGCTCCACTTGTTAGCGCGCTCGTGAAAGACAAGCGCGGACCGCTCCAAAAGCGCGACAAAATCGCGCTTAGTATCTGGAAAATCTGTCAAGTTTTGGAGGCGCGCCCGCGCCATGGTTTGGCGCGACCCGCGCCTAAACCGCGCCTAAATCGCGCAAGGTTTCTGGAAATTTGGTTTTTTGGAAGAACGAGGAGGAGCGCCCGCGCGCAGGGGTGGCGCGCCAACGCGGCTGTGGTGGCGTGCCCGCGCCTCCTCGCTCGTCTTCGGTTTTTGCGGTTATTTCCTATATATCGTATCGATGCTTTCGTTTTTTCGAAATATAGAACAAAATATTCCTCTCTAAAAAAAAACTCTCTCTTATCTACAATTTTATTGAAGAATCTTGCAAACTCTTCTTTAATTCTCCATCATTAAGTTTATAGTTTGAGAATTTAATCATCTTATCACACATCTTTATGCTTAGAGTGTGGTGTTGGCTATTGTATCTCAAAGTGAGTTTCCGGTTTCAACCCAAGCACCGTGGTGGGGGGAAATTATCACTTTAGGAAAGTGTATACACGCCTTAGTCAAGTATCCGGTATAGAAGACTCACGTGGTCATTGTTTTTATCATGTTCTTGGTGGATTTCGGCTTGGAGAGAGGCAAGTAAAGAATCTTTCACATTAGTGTTATTTTGCTGTAAATTCTGAATTATATTGTTAATTTAGTGCTTGGTTTGTGATAATACGTTAAGTATTTGGTGTTGTATATTTTATTGAAATCTATACACATTCTAGGGTTTGTCCACCATTGTTATTTGATTCTAGTTGTGTAGAATCAAAGTAGTAAACGCTAACAATAATCAATTATGAAATTTAAGTTTGTTTTCTTTGAAAAGTTATATTGTTGTTCATACAATAACACGGAGAATTAACCGGCCAAAATCTAGTAAATATCTAAAATCAATTAATTTGGATCATCTTTCTCTCTTCATCTCTCAAAAGTAATATTGATATTGTTATACAACATAAACTATCGTGAAACATTGAGCTTCATACATGTATTATAAAGAACATAAGATTTCAAGCATACCAACGGGGAGTAAACATCAAGATGTAAAAAAATACAAGAAAACTAAGAAAATTGAGCAGAGAAAAGCATCAGATTTCTCCTCTATAGCCCCCACCACCAAAATAATCCTTTCTCGAATTAACAAGCTATTGTGTCTTATGATGCTCCAATTTTGGGCAATTTTGGATCCTGTGACAAAGCCGCTCACAATACGAACACCCTTGGACTCCACTTACATTTTATTTACGAAACTGCCACTGTAAGAAACAAAAATGTTTCTCGCAGTGAGTAACAGAGATTTACTGCTCTAAATCATCTATTGGGTCATCAAGTTCAGCCAATACTGGTGGTATTCTCAGCTTGGCTTCTTGCAAAAGATGCTTCAAATCAAGCAGTGTAGTCTCACTCTGGTTTCTATTTATGAATGTTGTCGCAATTCTTGTTTTCCCACATCTTCCTGTCCGACCTATACGATGGACATAATTCTCAATCTCAGCAGGCATGTCATAGTTGTGAAAGGATTAAGCGAATGTGCTAGCTAGTTTGCGATTAACGACAATTAACAACAACGAAGACAGAAAAACAAGTAAACGAGACAAGGAGAATTTACCGTGGGAAACCGGAGAACCGGGAGAAAAACCCACCAATCCACTATGGAGTAACAATTTTGATGAAGATTAATGTAGTTTAAAAGTTTTCAATCACCATGAAAGTTCCACCCCAAACTCACCCTCTCAAACACTCAAACCCTAAGTGTTTGGGTTTACATTGAGGCTCTCTCTCTACATCTTTTCCTTCATCCTCTTGCTCTCTCTCCAATGAAAAAACATGATCATATATAGTGCAAGAAGATCAACGGCTAAGATTACATCCCGAGCGAAATAAAAAAAATTGCAGCGTTGGAACAGGGGGTCGATGGTTCGACCGAACCTACCAAGAGTTCGATCGAACTTCAAGTGGTTCGGTCACACTTCCTCTTTGGTTCGACCGAACCTCCTCTAGAAGTCAAAAGGCTGCATAGTCTTTTTCAAATCCAGGTTCGACCGAACTTTTCAAAAGTTCGGTCGAACTCCCGCACTGTGCGGACAGTTCTTTGTAAAACGGCCATAACTCCCTCGATTCTTGACCAAATCGAGCTTATGACCTTTCGTTGGAAAGCTCTTGAGACGAGCTATCACCTCCAACTTGAATCATCTCAATACCACTTCTATATATTGAGATATGTCCATTTGAAGTCAGCCCTTTGCCATTCACCATTGCTTAACACCAAGCAATAGCCCATAGTTTAAAATCCTAAGCTATGCACCCCCTTTGCCTTCTTGAACCGTTCTCCACACTTCTCATACCCAACAAGTTGATAACATACTCCACTTCTTGAATGACGTCAAGATTAGCAGCCCCAGCTCTACCAACATTAACAACAATAGGCTTAACCAATGCACTTCTAGCAAAATTCTGGATCTTTGTTGGCATAGTAGCAGAGAAAAGGATTGTCTGCCTCTGAGCTTTAAAATGGTCAAAGACTTCTCTGATGTCATCCTCAAATCCTAAATCGACTAGTCGATCAGCCTCATCCAAGCATAAATATCTGAGGAAAAAAAAAAACTGTTAGGGCCTCAATAGAGAATAGTTGTCATAAAAGCAAAAGGACAATCAACTTATGCTACACACACACACACACACACACACACACACACATATATGATCATATGAGACCACCTCCCTTATGTGAGAACCCTATTATATGTGAAGACATATTACAACCGTTGGATCAATTGCATCCATTGGCTACAATTTATCCCAATCAAATGTAATTTCATATACAATTTTCCAGTGTTCTCACTCTCCTCCTTCATTCGACGCTCCATTTTTCTCTCTCCTCCTTCAATTTCTCTGTGCCCTTCTTACTGCTCTCTTCCTTTGCTTTGATTCTTCATCAATTCTGCTTCTAACTTCATTGATTCTTTGTCAAGGTAATTTTCGTTGATTTTAGTTTGATTTTCGTTGATTAAAGTTTGATTACTTAAGGTTTTTGTCAATTTTTTTGCGATTTTTGATTCAATTTCCGTTCAATTTTTTTTCCTGGCGTTTTCTATATTTGAGTACTTATTAGATGATTTTAGTTTTAATTTTGCTTCATTGATTCTTTATCAAGGTAATTTTCGTTGATTTTAGTTTGATTTTATCAATTTCAAATGTAGTACATATTTAATTGATGCTCTTCTTATTTAAAATTCCCCAAGATTGTATTGAGTCTCAGCTTCTAGCTTCTAGGTGTTCTGACATTTTCAGCATCAATTTCTACAGTTGTATTGATTGTGAGTTGTCTTACATGTGTCAATAAGTTTTGTTTCCTATTGATGTATAAGGTTTGTTGTCCTCATGGTGCCTTTGAACATTGGCTGGTTTGGGTGTTTTAGGATGTTACTCTATTTTTCTTACTATATGATATTTGACCTTTGATCTCTGGTTCAATATATGATCAAATGGATAACAGTTATTAAATAAACAAAGGTATCCTGTTAGTGAACTGCCTTGCAGCAGCTTAAGCTAATTACTTATAGTATAATTTCAATTCCCATTTTCAAATTTGAATTAATAGAATGTTTTTTAATTGTCGAATACATAAACTTGTGCCTAATACCTCTCTGTCTAGTCACTCACATAGTCATGTATGTCAACATGTCTTTATTTTTTGACACTCAGTGGGCGCTTCAACATCTTCAATTAAAGAAGCTGAGAGTGATGTCCTCAAAGCATTGTCTCAAATCATAGATCCAGACTTTGGAACCGCCATTGTTTCTTGTGGCTTTGTGAAGGATCTACAAATTGATGAAACTTCAGGAGAGGTCATCTAAATAATATTGTGCTCTTGTAACTTTGTAATTTATCATTATTTTCTGATCTCTGAACCTCTGATTTCAGGTGTCATTTCGCTTGGACCTTACAACCCCAGCCTGTCCAGTCAAGGACATGATAAATTAATTCCATGTTACAAATTTGATTGTTGCTGATGTATGTTCTGGTGTCATATTTTTTCCTTGGAGCATTTTTGTAGATGTTTGATATGTCATGTAGAACTATCATAATTTATTGCCTTAATTCTATATAGTATACACTAACCTCTAACTGACTCTACACCGCCTATTGCCTTGTAATGTGTGTTTGGGCTTCAATCATTATGCATTAATACGGGGTATATAATTGTTGTGTTTTTGCAGTTTGAGTAGAAAGCAAATGAGGAGGTGGCAGCACTTCCCTGGGTTAGAAAAGTGAATGTCACGATGTCTGCCCAACCTGCTAAACCAGTTTTTGGGGGAGATCTTCCAAAGGGCTTGCAGACAATTTCAAACATTCTGGCTGAAAACAATAAGTGAACATGGACTTTGAAGTTCCTATACCTTCTGAACAACAGAATTATCTATTTGGTTGTAAGTAAAATTTGGTTAGTTGTCAGGAATGAATGTAACAATATTGATATTAGGAAACACATTTTATATTGATAAAATGTACAAATAATTTTTTGCTCATTTATCAAATGAGCAAATAATTTTTTGCTCATTTATCAAATGAGCAAATAATTTTTTGCTCATTTATCAAATGAGCAAACAATTATTTGCTCATTTAAATGAGCATTAAATAATTATTTGTTCATTTGTCAAATAAGCAAATAATTTTTTGCTCATTTATCAAGTGAGCAAAAATGTGCAAATAATTTTTGCTCATTTATCAAATGAGCAAAAGAATTCAATGCTCTTTTGTCAAATGAGCAAACTATTTAATGCTCATTTGTCAAATGAGCAAATGATTCTTGCTCATTTTGTCAAATTAATGCTCATTTGTGAGTGTGTTTGAATGTTTTAAATACGTTAGCCTACTAGCTCGAGTGTAGAGCATTGTGCAAATGCACAAAAGATGTGGGTTCAAATCCCACGTAGGTTCATTTATGTAATTTGGAGACACAAGTTTGTAGTGTGAGCAAAGAAATAAGCAAAGAAATGAGCAAACTACACTCAATTAGTCTAGAAACTCATAAACCTAAAAGAAGTATATTTGGGGATATTAGAGAAAAATAAGGGTGGTTTTGAGAATTTGAGGAAGATTTTAATTTGATATGCCATGTTTAAACATTACAATTTCAGTTGCATATCCCCTGTTACAAGATTGGTGTTCTTACTCATATTCCTCCAAAATTATATAATTGGCGTCCCGCATGATTAATTAGTTCTTCTTGCGTATCGCGTGTTGATGAATATTGATCATCAATTCATTATAGCTTAGCAAAAGAAAGATGGTGATATTTGCTTTTTTTGGTACAAAATATGTGCACAGAAAACATCTGAGCAAATTGTCCTACAAGAAAAGGAAATGATTGAGAATCTTTCAGACAAGAAATCCCTGATGTCGGTTCGTGAGCTGGCAAAAGGTATAACATAAACAGAGCCTCTTTGGACTGGGTGGAAACCTCCCTTAGCCATAAGGAAGATGTCGAAGAAGCATTGTGACACCATTCGGAAGCAATGGCATATTATTGTTGATGGTGATGACCCTCCGCCGCCTATCAAGACTTTTAAGGAGATGAGATTTCCTGAACCTGTATTGGAGGAGTTAAAATCGAAGGGCCTTTTTCAACCCACACCAATCCAAGTGCAAGGGCTTCCTGTTATTTTGTCTGGCAGAGACATGATTGGTATTGCATTTACTGGTTCGGGGAAGACATTGGTTTTTGTCTTGCCCCTCACAATGTTGGCCCTGCAGGAAGAGGAAATGATGCCTCTTGAACATGGAGAAGGCCCGTTTGGGCTTGTAGTTTGCCCTTCTAGGGAGCTCGCGAGGCAGACTTACCAGGTTGTGGAGCAGTTTCTGATTCTGCTAAAGAAGGATGGATGGCCAGAACTGAGACCATTACTGTGCATTGGAGGGGTGGATATGAAATCACAATTGGACGTTGTTAAGCAGAGTCTTCATATAGTTGTTGCCACTCCAGGGAGGCTCAAGGATATGCTTGCCAAGAAGAAAATGAATCTGTATAACTGCAGGTAAGATTTTGATTTTTTTTTTTTTTTTTTTTTTAATTCCTGTAACAATATCCTCCGGTGTTGTGTGTTTTATACTTGCTGCTGAATACCCACTTCCCTCTATTCACCCTTGAAGTGAAACATATTACCATCTGTGAAGAGATGTCTAAAATAATTGATCGTAATTTTGTTGTTTGGATTTAGGTGCAGAGCTATGTAAGTGATTTGTCTTGCATCTGGTCATTCCCTTTGGGCCCTCTGGGGTAAGTGTTAGGGCTCAACTGTTGGCTGAAATTGAAATTTACGTTTACAAATTGGAGCATGGTTTTTCAGGGTCTTGCATGTGTAGTAAGGGCATGCTGAGATATCCCTAGTTGCTCTGTTGCTTGTAATTTTAGTGTTTTCTAAATTGCTGTCTAAATCAACGATCATGATCTGGTTTTTATGTTTGGATACTTTAAAATTTTAATATTTATGAAGGCTTTTTAAAACTTGTTAATGGCAGGTTTCGTGTTATCCACTCCCTCCTATTGTTTGTTATGTACATGCCCCCAACACCCTTCTTGCTTCTAGTTCTCTTTGAGGAAATCATTTATATTTATGTGTAGAATTACATAACAAATTGATGGTTAATCAACTTGTAGGTGTTTTCTGTTCAAATAAAGTTTATGGAGATGCTTAGATAGGCTCATAGGCCATAGGCATGTATCTCTTGTTCATATTTTCTGGATAAGATAAGAGCTTTGGTCAAATGATCAAACTAATTCTTGGTTGTTTGTTATTTTTAACGTCCTATTGTGGTTGCACACTATTTGGATAAAAATTGAAATCTAATCCAATCCAAACTAAATTAATTTGGATCCGTTATTTTTTTTTCCAAAAAAATATTATATTCCCGGATCAGATCAGATTGGTTTGGATTAAAATAACCCAAACAAAAAATTATATTAGAAGTCTAAAATATTTTTTAAAGCTACTTAAATTTAATAACATATACACCACAATAAGCTTAACTAAACTAGACTATTTTAGTCCTCCCTAAGGCATATTTCAAGATTGTAGAGTGTATGACCAATGTAGACCAATTTGTAATATTCAATTTTATTTTATTTTATTATTTTTAACTTGCATTATTAAAAAAAAACATGAATTGTGCACCAATATAGACCAATGCCCCCCCCCCCTAAAAATGGTAGTTTATTATATTTGAATTTTATATTGGATTAAAACTATCAAAAAATAATTGAGATTGGATCGGATTGGATTTCGGAAAAATTTGGATCAGATTAAACTCGACCTTTCAAAATGAAATTTCAATTCAAACTAGTTATTAGCTCGGACAATGCCCCGATTCACTATAAATTTGTAAGTTTGTATGTTCAATTTTTATATGTTCAGCAATATTTATAAGTGAATAAAATATAAAAGTAATAAATTTAAGATTATATGGGTGCCAATTTTTATTCGTTTTATTTTACATGATAAAATAGTAACTTATCTAAATATTACGGAGTACTTTGTATAATTGATTGGCTGGTATTGAATCTATAAAATTAGCATTTAAATAATCAACAACCATTAATTTGTGATTAATGTCTTACAAATTAAATTAAAAAAAATACTTAAAAAAAGAAAGTTCTTGTTTGTAGTTCTTAGAGGAAAAAAATTTGTGAGTGTTGTTCCATAATTTTTGGTTCTATTTATATAGATATTTCATTTTATTACTAAAATATTAATTTTCTTTTCAAAGTATCCAATATATAAATAGAAATATCTTTATTTTAACTTCTCACCACATACCTCTAAAAGTCTAATCTTTATATTCAATGAATTTCATATAAAATAATATATTAGACCTTGTTCACTTCACCTTAAAAAAAAAAAACTTCCTCCGTTAATTGTTAATTGCAAAAAAGGGGGTGTGTGCGAAACTGACATATAAAGTCGTATCACCTAATCAAAAGTGATTCCTAAATACCTCTAACTAATATAGATAAGGATGTAGGGTCGAATCCACAGGGAAACAACGTTCTTTTAATTCTAATCTATTATAATCCGAATTATTAGGGAACAAATAAGATTGTGGGAAGTATATTATGACAAAAATTAATAAGGGGGCAATCAATAATAAAAGCCCTAGGGTCACAGGTTCACCAATAATTAATACTCTGGGATAAAACATAACAATCAACGATTGACATTGCAAACATAACATGATTAACAGGCTCTCGCAATTTATTAATCAACATAGATTTAACATGCTCTCGCAATTTACTAGACCTAAATTCCTATTGAAAATAGCCTTTAATATCAAATTAACATCTGCTCGATTAATCAATTCAATATTGCTATACGTTTACAATCAAATCACACTTGCTCGTTCATAATCCAATTGCAAAGAATTAAAACAATTCAATAAGAAATTATCATGCAACATCAATAATCAATCAAAATAATTCATCCCTTCATATTAATTATGAATTCCCCAAGAACCCTAGAATTAAACTACTCGCACATAATTAAATCTAAACTAATCAAAGCAATTAAATTAAGCATAATTAAAGCAATAATAATAAAACTAATAAGAAAGCAATAACAAGCTACTATAAAAACAAAATAGATTAAACATAAAGTTAAAGATCCTCCAAACTAAATAAAGAAAAGCAATAATAAAAACTAAAAACTGTAGTTTGCGTAAAAAACCAAGAACTAAACTAAATTATGAAATTTAATCTAAAGAACAAAAATCTAATCTAAAACCTACTCCCCTAAAGTAGGGATGGCAATTCTAAATAGATATTCGCAAACCCGATTTACCCGAAATAAATAAATGGACGAAAATCCGCGTTAAATGGATGAAGGGAGGATGACAAATGAAGCGGGTGACGAATCGGGTCGGATTTGGGTGGAGCTCCGTTTCATCCGTCACCCGATCTGTCATCCGTTATCACCAGATTTTCCATCTATCCGTATAAATATAATTATTATTTTTTTCGCAATTTCATATATAGTACTATATATGTACGTATAGTTCTACAAAAAATTAAAAAAAAAATTCTAAATTTTATTTAATTTTATTTTTTAAAAAATATAAAACTAAAGCCCACCCCCCCCTCCCCCCCTCAATATACTGTACTATCACTACTATGTAACAATTGCAAGTAAGATCATAATTTTTTTATTTATTGATTATTGTTGTATTAAAGAATTGAGAGTTAATTAATACGAAGTAGTTTACTATTCAAGTTTAATATTGGCTAAAAGGTTTTTTTTTAAAAAAAATAAATAGATAGAGTAGGATTATAATTATCACCTGCTAAGCATTCAATCCACCCGTTTCACCCGCAGATGACGGATGGATCGGATGCGGGTGGAGCGGATGGTGGATTCAGGTGGATGCGGGTGAAGCTCCATCCGACCCGAATCCGATCCGTTGCCATTCCTACCCTAAAGCTACGTAACTCCTTCCTTTATATAACCAAGCAAATGGGCTTTTTACAAATCCCATTCAGAATAAAACTCCAAAAGCAGCCGACATTCCACTCTCACGACCGTTCGAGCCCGCCTTTTTTCAACGCCCAACAGCTGATCACTTGGGATTGGGCTTCCGTTTGCTTTAGGCCCAAAACTCCCTCTAATTCATTCTAGTAAATTGGATTGTCATACTTGTTTGGTCCATACTACTATCATGAACTTTCGTAGCCAACTTATTCCTTCAACTCGGTCTTAGGTTTAAAATATTCGGTAATAAAATACGATCAAACTCTAATATTTTTGTAGTGGCTCAATAACCTCGGGAATTATCATAATTCTGTAAATTCCTATAAAATAATACCAACTCTACAAAAACACTAGAAAACGTATATTAGTAAATAGTAATAAAAAATGCTCCGCAAAGCTCAAATAAGCATAATTATGACCATGGAACAAAGAATAAAAATACATATAAAATAGACTCATCAGAAACCAAAGGTAATGTTTCTTAACCATGATTACTGAAAAGTAAGGACATGTACTTAATATTAATCCAACAAAAATAACCACCACAATTAAACATAACCACCCAACACCACCACCCACGCCGCCACCACGAACCCAAAAACCACCACCATGAATCTAGAAACCACCACCATGAACCCAGAACGCACCACCACAAACCCAAAATCCACCCATGAATCCACCACTACGAACCCAGAAACCAACCATGAATCCACCACCACGAACCACTACAAGAAAACAGCTGGATTCCGACGGAAAAATTCCGTCGAAACATAGGAAATTCCGTCGGAATCAAGCCTTCCGACGGAATTCCGTCGAAATTACTCTGTCGTAGCACCCTTTGTAGGAAACTCGACCTTTTCCGACGGAAATTCCGTTGGAAGGCGTTCATCCGACGGATCCAATTCTGTCGGCGCTGATTTTGACTTTCATTGAAATTCCGCCACAAATTTCAGACGGAATTTTCTGTCGGAAGAGGAATATTCCGACGGAAATTTCCGTCGGAAAAGTCAATAAAAAAAATAAAAAATAAAAAAAACAGCCCTCCACCCCACCTGCCCAGACCACCCCCACCCACACCCAGCGCCACCAGCCTTCATCCCCACACACCACCAGCCCATCCCCTACCCCCCTACCCACCCACACCCCACCCCTTGCCCCCCTACTACCCCCCTACCCACCCACACCACCACTGCCCCCCTGCCCCTAAACCGGACCACCAGCCCACACCACCCACCTTAACCAACCAGTCCCCCTAACCCGTACCACCAACCCACACCACCCCACAACCACCACTCAAACCCGAAACCTTCCAAAAATACCACCACCACCACACCCTTACCTAGATCCATCTAACCCAGACCCACCAAACCCTAACCCCTAACCCGAACCCACCCATCACAACCGCCCAAAAACCACCCGCAATCACCCAAAAACCACCCACAACCGCTCAAAACCACAACCACAATCCAAGCAACGAACAATGTGTTAAATAAATATAAAAAAAAAAAAAAAAACATACCTTTAAATCGAGTTTTGCTTTGAATGTCACCTCGAATTTGGTTTAATATGGCCAAATTCGACCATGAAACCTCTAGATCTAGAGGTTTCATGGTCGAATTTGACCAAAAAAAACCATGAAACACCGCACCTCATGCTGCGCCACCTTAACCCACCAGACGGAAATAACGAGAGAATGAAGGAGGAAAGAAGGAGAACGGAGAAGAAGGAGGACGAAAAGAGAATGAAGGAGAACGGAGAAGAAGGAGAAGGAAAAGAGAATGAAGGAGGAAGAAGGAGAACGGAGAAGAAACAGTGAAAGAAAGAAGGAGAACAGACAAAGGGAAGAGAAGAGGAGAGAGAAAGAGAAGGAGAAAGGGGAAGGAGAGTGGCGGAAATGAGGGAGGGGGGTTTGGGCTGTTTTAGGGTTTGGGTTTTGAAGGGTTCTCTAATTTTATTTTATTTTTTTTAATTAAGATTCCGACGGAAATTCCGTCGGAACATTTAGGACTTCCGAGGGAATATTCCGTCGGAAATTTTCGACGGATTTTTATTCTGCCGGAAATTAAACTTTCTGACGGAATATTCCGTCGGAAGCCTATTGTTCCGA